TGATATGTCTAGTGATATAAATAAAAGTTAATATTGAGATCAAGCAGGACCATGAATAGTCTCATTCCAGTTCTGGTTAGGTATTGCCACCATGTAAGTTATGGAGAGCATCGGTTTCAGATCTCTAAGGATTTCAGAACTGTGGGTGAGGAATTCAGGACCTCCAAATGAATATTTGCTCTTGGTTTGCTGATCTGGAGTGCAGCCCAAACTCATTTCAGCAGAAAACGTTTTCTGTTTGTGTTGTTTGTTTTTTTCCAGAGGCTGGAAGATAATATTAGAGAAAAACGTATGATTTGAAACTTGCAATGCCAGAGGTACTGTTTGGAAAGGTGTTTGACAGTTGCGATGTCAAATTGCCAACAGAAAATTTGGAGCTCATCAATGGTTGATCAAAGCAAAAGTTCTTCTGCAAGGAATTTACAATAGCCCTGGGTTAACATAAAAAGAGACTCAGAAGGATGGGCTAGCCAAAGCAAGGAGTCTAACTCTCTGGAAGCAGCTCACAATCAATATTGTGGTAAGCAGGGAGTGACAGAGGTTAGCAATCTTGATATAAATGCCAGGGTGAACTGTGGTAATAGGGGGACTGGTGTACCCAAGGAGGCAGGGAAAGGAAAGCAGAGTTTTTAAAGGAGAAAGGAAGAGAGTTACATAAAGTGTATTGTGACAAAGAGAACCTAATTACAGGGTCTTATGGCAGAAATGACATTAATTAATTGAGCTGACAGTGTGTCAGGCAAGTGTTCTTATCTACTCACTTAGCTGTCCTCATAACTCCTGTAGGAAGTTGAGGTTTGAATCTTTGCAATGACTCCAGTTATCAGACAACTTGTTAACAAGAACCCTGTGGAAAGCCTTTGTACTAATTTTTATCACAAGCTCATGGGTATGAGAGCTCTCCCTTCTTAATATTCTTTTTCTTTCTTTCTTTCTTTCTTTCTTTCTTTCTTTCTTTCTTTCTTTCTTTCTTTCTTTCTTTCTTTCTTTCTTCTTTCTTTCTTTCTTTCTTTCTTTCTTTCTTTCTTTCTTTCTTTCTTTCTTTCTTTCTTTCTTTCTTCTTTCTTTTCGTTAGGTTTTGACACAAGTGACTCCCTTTTGATTCTGGCAACTTTCACCCCTCCTTATCCATGATTTCACTTTCCAATGGTCTGAGTTACCTGCAGTCTACCATGAATAAAAAAATATTAAGTGGAAAATTCCAAAAGTAAACAGTACATATTGTTTTAAATTGCTTAATGTGTTGAGTATTGTGATGAAATCTCATATGTTCCTGTTCCATTCTTCCTGAACCATGAATAATCTCTTTGTGCAGTGTATCCACACTGTATAACCATGCCCCTGATAGTTATCAGTTGTCTCAGGTATTTGATCAAATGATGAAGCATTGAATTTGTGTTCAAGCTACCTTTATTTCACTGAATAGTAGCCCCAAAATGCAGACTTTTTTTTACAGTACATTGTCATAATTATTCTATTTTACTATCAGTTCTTTTTAATGTCTTACTGTACCTAATTTATAAATTAAACTTTAGCATAGAAATATATATATGAAAAACATAGTATCTATAAGATTTGATGCTACCTGGAGTTTCAGGTATTGACCTTGGATCTTGGACCAGGGAACTAATGTATATGATAATGCAGCATATACAATTTTAATCTTGAATGGAATTACTATTATCAGAATCATTTCATCTGTAAGGCACAGATCTTTAAAAAAAACCCATGCTAGACAAAATAACAAAAGGAACCCATAGATTCCTCACCTTGATCTACACACACCCTCCTCCATTTATTCAGTGAAATAATTATCTGGGTACTGCTGTGAGGGGATTTTTACACATGTAATTAAGCTCATAAATCAGTTAAATTTACAATAGGAGACTACTCAGGGGGAAACACACTCCCAGCTCACTTGTGGGCTGGGAGGGAGGACAAGCTCCATATTATGAGCTTCTTACTGGGGCCACACATTGAGAAGTGTGAGCAGCCTCTAGATGCTGAGCATGGTCTCATGCTAATAGCTAGAAGAAAAGGAACCTCAGCCTCACAGCTGCAAGGAAATGAATCTTTCAGCAATCAGGAAAAGCAGCGAGCCTGGAAGAGAACCCTCACCCCAAATGTGAGCTGCAATCCTGAGTGACACTTTGATTTCCACCTGCGAGGCCCTGAGCAGAAATTCCAGCTCCACTGTGCTGAACATCTGACCTCCATAAATTGTGAACTCATACATTTGTACAGTTCAAAGCTGCTAAATTTGTGGTAACTTGTTACACAGCAGCAGAAACTACTATACTGCCAAGAAGTGAATACTGTGCTGCAGAAGAGCCATATGCTCGAATCCAATGTGTCTTGTTGGGAGGAAGTGAACATTCCAGCTGCAGTAGTGCTTGGAATTTCTATCAATGAAAATAGTGCTCAGAATTGCTATCAAGGAAGTGAAGCAATCCTAAGACACAAGAGTTTGGTGATAAAAGTCCTAGATATGTTCATTGACACATCAGTATGCATGATATTTAGTTACCTGTAATTAAGTAATTTAAAAATATGTTTTGGAGTGTTTTTTTGTGTGCCCTAAGATTGTTTTTCAGAATTATTGGTTATATCAGTAAATATATGCATATTATAAGTAGGTAGGGCAGATCATTAAAATAGTCTCTTATTTTCTTCAGTTTGTAATACTTATGATAATTTGTCAGCTTTTTAAAAAAATATAATTTGCTGCCCTTTTTTCCTTTTAAAAGAACATCTTTCTAGGCCTGATTTTATATTAGATACTTGGTATTCTTTTATAAATAGAATTCTTCAGAAGACAAAATATTTAGTACCTATAAAATGTGGATACCCAAGCAAGGACAAACTCCATAATTTATCTTTCCCAAAAGACAACTTGAGATAAACTTGGAGTAGTAGCCACTGTTACTCAGCACTCAACACTATCCTTCCTGCCTCTTTCTCAGGTTTTATGCAGATGTCCAGATTCTCAGCGCTCAGGGATGGCAGCCAAGCCCTGCCTCGTGCTACAACATAGTTGTCAAAACCAATCAGCAATTCCTTCTCTTTACAACTGACTGGGGGAGACATGGTCACAGGATGTCAATTTAGCAACGAGATGCATGGAAATGTCTTCAAAGAATATCCTTTTTGCTTCACTAAAGAAAAGGGAAGGAAATGACTTAAAATGGGACTTGAAGCAGGAACTTCTCTGTTTGGCTGTGAAAATTGCGACATGGTAACATAAAGGAATGACCTGCAGCTGAAGCAGGTATTGCCTGCTTCTCTGAGGCCAGACCAATGCAGAAATGTAAAGACTTAGAGATATTGAGGAACTAGGACTAGAAAAGTCCCGCTCTGTGCTTGTGCCAGTAAGGGAGTGAGTCATTTCTTATGGCTTAAGCCACTGTGTTGTTGGATGCTCTGTTATCAGAGCAGAAATTCTCAGGATAGATTAGGGATGCTAGAAATGGAGAAATAGAGGCTTCTGGAAATTCTGGAGGCTAGATGCTAATCCAGAGTATGATTTGATGTGAATGGTATGTGCTTTCATCCTGGGAGAAGATTTACCTAGAGTGAATAAGCAATAAGATTTGTTGAATGCAAGTCCCGTCAGAATTCTAAAGGGAATTATTTTTGGAAAATTGAGAAAAGGATGCAAATGATCCCAAAGATCATCTAAAAACATAAGTAAAATAACAAAATTTCTGAAAATGGAATGAAAAAGAAGTGTATTGTGAGGAGCCCTACAAAATACATATAGTTAGTTTCAATAGGTAACTTATTGTGGTCCATGTATAAATATTCACAACTGGCTAACAGCAAGGTAGAGCACAGAATAGACTCCACTGTCCACTAATAATAGAAGAAATCAAATTAATATATACTGTTTCATTTAATCATAAAATAATTCTAGGTTTACAGTGCTGATTCTGTGTGTGATGGCTGCTCTCATATTGATAGAGGTAATAAAAGTTGGGAGAATCTTTCTAGAAACTGGAAGTTTGTAGCAAGAGCCTGAAGTAAATCTGTAAACTTCAAATAATTGTAAATGCAATTATTCTGTTTTTGACCATATATCCTTAGGAAACAATTCTAAATATATGAAATCCTTCATGGAGGCAGATGTTTATTATCGTAATAATGAAAAATGGAAACAAATTAGGTTTGCAACATGCAGGGCATATTTAAGTCAATTATGGCACATTCACACTCCTCTTGTGCAAGTATTAAAAATGATGGTTATGAAGACTAAATTAACAATGAGAAATGTCTGTAATTTAATGTGGAAAAATGATATAAAATTAGATCCAAAATAGTTATGTCGTTGAAAAATAGCAACCATGGAACGTACAGGGAAGTGTTGGAAGTAAATGCAACACAATAAGAAAAACAGTTAGATCTGAATAGAGGGATTGCCACTTTTTTCCTTTTTTTAACATTCCAAATGCTTTCATAGTGAATCATTTTCAAATAGCAGAGTAATTGCCTTCAAAAACGTAAAACGTGTTATATTACTCAAGATTTTCTATCAAAGCAGAACCCAACAAGCAAATGGCTGTTGAAAATATTCATTTTTTATCCCCCATAAGCATTCATAGATAGGCTTAATTTATTTCAAAGTAGGTACTCAAAGAGGTAAGTGAATTCTTTAAGGTCTTTTAGCCATGATGGCAGTTCCGATGGGTTTATGCGTTAATCCCAAATATGACACTAGTTTTGTGACCTTAGGAATGTTGCTGTACTTGTCTGCATCTTACTTTACCCATCTGCAGAACGGGGTTAATAGCAACAGCTACCTTGTGTAGCTGCTCTGAGGATTAAATGTGATTATAAGCAGAACGGATGTTATTATGATAAGAGCTAAGGTTCAACCTCATAGCTTCCAGCTGCGAGTCAACGTACTACTTTCATACTTACCTGACTTATAAAATTATGCCATGGCAAAAAAGCAAATAAATACAATCAGCTGACAATTAACAGAGCGCATTTCTCAGAACTACCTTGTGCATAAGAGTCTGCTTGTCCCTGGGAACAGCTGTTGCTTCTTTTCCAAAGACCTTTGTGTAGTGGTGGTGTCCCGGTGCGCACAGGGCTGCTTTGCCCCGGGAAAGAACACCCCATTCCTCTGTTTCTCCTCCCTGGGCCGGTTCTTCTACTTCTTCCAAGGCCGGTTTCCCCGAGGGTGTCATATGTCTCCCCATAATGGGCCACTGCCACCTTGGGAACAATGTGCCAAATATTGAACAAAGGCTCTGTTTAGGTTTTGCTACTGGAGAGCTGAAACCAAGGGTCAAATTCCATTCTGGGTTTCTCCAAGTTCTATCCCTGTTCATGTCAGCACATATTTTTAGAGAATGCAGATTACAAAGTTTTCCCCATCCCACCCCCTGCCAAAAAAAAAACCAAAAAAAACAAAAAACTGCAGCTCTGTTAGGAAACTTCTATGTCTCTGCCACTGCACGGTGGAGTTTTATTTTTGTAGAGGAAACTTCTCTGTTAGCGGTGCTTTGTTTGAGAAACACATTCTTCCATACAATTGGAGTACATCCAAATAATCACTGCTCACAGGGCCCCATGGAGTGGGTAGGTTTCCATTTTACTAGTAGAAACTGAAGCTCAAAGGGTCATTGAAAGACCATCGTGTGAAATTCAAAGGGTCATTGAAGACCATCATGTGACTCTCCCTTGGGATGCTTTAGAGCAGGAGTGCTGAACTCTGGGGCCAGAGCCCTATATTGGTCTATGCTCTATAGAGTAGGAGATATGTAGGGGTAGGGAGCAAATCTTCCTTATTTACAGCTGCTTTCCATCACTTGCATTACTGCCTGAGATGTGCCTCCTGTCAGACTGGAGGCAGCATTAGATTCTTCTAGGGGCATAAACCTTACTGAGAACTATACATGTGAGGGATCTGGGCTGTATGCTCTTTATGAAAATCTAATCCTGAAAACAACCTCTACCTCCATCCCTGGAAAAACTGTCTTCTATTGTCTTCCACAAAACTGGTCCCTGCTACCAAAAAGGTTGAGGACCAGTGCTTTAGAACACTTGATAAATTGAAGCCAACTGGTGATCTTGCTGTCTGGACCCCACCTCACAGCCTGCCCATTCCAATTTCAAAGTACTTCATTTTATTTGGAAATTCTACACAAGCTGAGTGGGTACATTACTTCTTACGGTCTTTGTATGTCATTCAATAAGAATATTAATATGAGTTATACAATCATTTTGTACAGAACAGCATGCTATGTGAATTACTTAGTCCTAAATTAGGAGGTAATAGATTTTTGGAGAATGTTCTAGTACTTTTCCATACATGCTTGAGATCCACTGTTAATCCTCCTCTGTTTTGCTCTGTGACAGAAGAGGCTACTCTGGGCTTCTTCACTGTCAGTCCTTATCTTCTGACTTGGCCTCAAAGAGCTCAGTTGTCTTATTATCATTCTCCCTAAGAAGAGGTCCAAAGTAGGATTCATGTACAGATTATTTTAGCAGTGGTAGCAGGAAGTGGGAGTGAAAGACTGGGGAGAGTAAAATAAAGAAGGAAACAAAGTCAATATATGACTCTTATTGCATCGGCTATTAAAATGAACAACTGGCATTTAATCTCAGTGGTTCCAGGAAGAAAACAGAAGATGTCTCATCATTTCATACCCAAAAGGTGAGAGAGAGAAGCAATTAACCATTTCTCCCAGTGCTCATAACTTGACGGTTGCTTCATGGCTATGAAGTGGCACCATCTCTGTGCTTCTCCTGGGTGAGAGCTGACAGGCTGCTGGCATCTGAGAAGAACTGGGGTGGGGGTTAGGGCACAAAAAAGGGAAGAGCAACATCCTCAGGAGCTGTAGCATTCTTTACCCAATGTAAATCAAAATCTTCACAGAATTGTTCAAGAAACTGTGGCTAGAGTTACAGGCGAGGGCAAGAGCGTGCGGGGTGGTCTGCAAGAGCTCACACGCACTGAGTCTTCATTGTCTTGGCTCTTTCCTTGCAAGGTCACTTACTGGGTTATGGTATCATTCTACCCAAGGCTGCACTTCCTACTTTGGGGCCCATAAAACCGGAACCAGAGGCAACCAAACTCTGACTCAGCAAATCCATTTCTGAATGCACCATCTGTTAAGACTTGAGGTGCTAAATGAAATCTGGTTCTTGACCAGTGAATCCAATATTCCAGGGATAGCGATTGTAAAAGGACCAAATCCAGAAGGCTAAGCATAGTAAGACTGAAATAAAGGAATCATAAGAAACTTCGACTTAACATGAATCTTAAAAACTCTGAAGTATATAATCAAGATAACAATCAGGAAAGATTGCCTACAAATGCAATGAACAGGAGAATTTATTGCTCAGGAAACCTATTAAAGCCATCTTCTAAAAACAACTGTCAATGATACATATAAAATCCTCAACACAATAAAGGAAGATTTATCCATAAAAATAACAAGGAATTATAAAATAAAAAGAAGCAGATATGAACCCCCAAAATGGGGAATCTTTTTAAAAAATAAGATTTTAATTTAAGACGATATTTAAATTTACAAAATTATTGTAAAGAAATACAGAGTCCTCATATTCCCTACTATGGTTTGGGGATAGTTCGATTGCTTAATTATTTATCCCAAGGGGATTTTCTGAGCCAGAAGTTGGTTGATTGAAGGCTTGGTCCACAGGGTGGTGCTGTAGAATTTTTGGGAGGTCTTTAGGACATTAAATGTCTTTAGGCCTTGAGAAGGACTGAGGGACTCATTTCTCATTTTCTCATCACTCCTTTGAGAAATGACTGTTTGACTGTTTGCCCCATGTGTGTTTCCAAGAATGATATGCCCTCAGTAGAGGCCAAACTAATGGGTCACCTGAAGTTGGTCTTTGAACTCTCAAAACTATGAGCTGAATAAACCTTTTCTCTTTATAAAGCTCATTACTTCCAGTGTTTTTTTTAATAGTAATCCAAAGCTAACTAATACAGAAAAACGAATATCAAGGAGTAGGGTCATTACTGCAACTTTACCTGAAAATGTGGAGGAGCCTTTGGAATTGGTTCATGGAAAGAGTTGGGATAGTTTGGAGGAACAGCCTAGGAAAAACCTTAAAATTGCATAAGCAGTGTATCTTGAGGGAATCTGATGGGCTCTAGATGAGAATGCTGACTAATATGTAGATAGGAAAGACCAGGCTGATGAAATCTCAGATGGAAAAGATTTACTGAGAATTGGAGGAAGAGTCACCCTTGTTAAACCATGACAAAAACCTTGGTGCCCTGTGCCTATACTCCGAGGCCTTGAGGAAGGCTGAGATTAAGAATGGTGGGCTAGTTTATTTGGCAAAGTATATTTTAAAAACATCAGAGCATTCAGGTTGTGGCATGGGTATTACTGTGTGGTTTTAGGTAGTTTTGTAGTCTCAATCAGGGACAAAAATGAGCATAATGGAAAGATTTGAAAAAAATTTCAGGCTGCTCCAAAATGGAGCAAAAACTCCAAGGAAAATGTGTTTGTTAAAGAGATTAATGTGGGTCAAAAGAAGCCAAACATTATAGGACAGTAGGATTGTTGCCTTGAAAATATCTCAGAAATCATAATCCTAGCCCCATCGTAGCTCCATCGGAAGGACAAATTTATTTCAGAGAGCTTCTAGGGCAGAACTATTTCAGGAAAGAGTTCGAGGTGCCTTATACACTCAGGATTGGCTCCAGGATCATTCTCCCATGCTCAGCTGGTGAAGCACTCCATAGTCACGGCAATGTTCCCAGCAAGTCCAAGTGTAGCTCATGACAGTGGCAGACCTTGGCATCATTCACGTGATGTTGATTTAGTGGGAGCAGAATGCAAAATACAGGGAATCATGCTGTTTACATGGAGACTTCAGAGTAAACCCTAAGGATCAGGCAGTGTGCTGCAGGATTAGAGTCCCTGCCCAGAGTTTCCAGGGGGACTGAACCAGCAATGGAGACCACGCAATGGTAGATGTGCCAATAACATGCAGTGCTCACCAGGGAAGGCTGAAGAAAGTATGCAAAAGCAGCCTGGGAGAGTAACCTGTAGGCTGTGGCCAGCAAAGCCATCAGGAAGTGCTCCCTAAAACCTTAGAGGCACATTCCCTGCCGCAGTGTGCCTTCAATACTGGACATGGAGCTTTAGGGTTAAATGTGTGCTTTTCTGGGTTCTAGTCTTGCTTTGGAGTGATTCTTCCTTTCTATTTCTCTGTCCTTCGCTTTTGAAATAAGAATAATCTCCCTGTACTGGTCTCACCATTGTATCTAGAAGGAGGTAACTTTTGTTGTTGTTGTTTATTTTGAGCCTCAAAGCTGAGAGATTGCCTTGAGTCTCATAGGACACTTTGGGTTTGGCCTTTTGGGCCACAAAGCTAAAACTTTGGGGGGACAGAATGAATGACTTTTACCTTGAGATAGACATGAATCCTTGAGCTTTAGGGGTTGAACACCATGGTTTGGGTGTAGATTAATTATTTCATTATGTTGCCCAAGAGATATTTGTGGAGACCTGGTCTGTTAGATGGTGCTGTTGGGAGCAGGTGGAATCTTTGGAAGGTGGGTTCTAGTGGGAAAGTCTTCAGGAAGAAGGGCCTCAAAAGGGACTGTAGATAACGTTTTGCTCTCTGCTTCAGTTTGAGATGTCTGTTCCACTCATCCCCCCACCACAATATACCACCTTTCACTGCCTTTGCCTTCAAATTATGAGATACATAAACCCTTTCTCATTGTAAAGTTAGCTGCTTCAGGTATTTTATTTTAGTAACCCAGTAGTAATTAGCATATGCCCTGATTAGCAACTTACATTAATATGCTTCCTTTGTTATAATTACTGACCCAATACCAATACAGCATTATTAACTATAGATCATTCTTATTCAGATTTCCTCAATTTTTCCTTAATATTCTGTTGCAGAACTTTGCTCAGGGCATCACACTATATTTATCTGCCAGGTTTCCTTAGATTCCTTGTGCTTGGATAGTTTCTTAGACTTTTTTCTATGACAGTTTTCAAAACATCTGGATAGTTCTAGAGGATGCAAGTCAAACATTATGTAGACTGCCCCTCAACTAGGATTTGTCTGATTTTTTTCTCATGATTAGAGAAATGTAGTATGTTTTGAAGAGAATAACCATGAGACAAAAT